AAAAAGAAAGGAAAGGAAGGGAAGAAACAGAAAAGAAAGAAAGAAGAAAGGAACAAAATCAAAGAGAAATAAAAAAAAAAGAGAAAGATAAACTCCTCAACCTCTCACCATTTTCTTCTCTCTGTCAGCTTCTTTGCTACTTCTAGAACCACCACAAATTTGCCTCATTACAACCATAATGTCGTCGTGAGTCACTGCCATGTCAGCTTTCCCCTCTCCTTCTCCCTTTATCTCCACTATTTTGCTAGTGAACAGTGGAGAGTTAGAATAGAGTATGTTGGGTTGAATTTAACCCAACCCCTATTTTAGGCCAATCTCGGTCCATTTTATTTTAGGCTGAATCTTGGCCAAACTAGGATGAGCTCAGCCTACATCACTGGGTTGGGCTTATCCCAATATATTTTATTATATAATTATAATATTATATTATATTATATATTAAACAAAAAAAGCAACAAAAAATTTCAAAAATCCTTTTAAAAAATTTGTGATTTTCTCATGAATTTTCTATCATTTTCTTTTAATATTGATTTGTATTTTTATACTGTAAAGATATAAATTCCATATTAAAGTACCTAGTTTTCTCGAAAATGTTGAAAAAAAATATATATAGAAAAAAAAATATTGTTTTCATGCATACCATCAAGTCAATCAAAAATATAAAAAAATATTCATATTGTATTTTCATACAATAAAAATTCAATTTTTTTTTTTGTATTAACATGCGTTTTGAGCTTTTAATAACCAGTTTATTAAAGCTATAAGAACTAGTGCTAAATTTCAAAAATACTAAAAAAAGCTATTTTTTTTCTTTTAGTATTTAGGATTACAAACTTATGATGTATTTTTAATATTAAAAAGGTATTTGTTTTATATATATATTTTGGACATTAGAATGACTAAGTTTTTTTACTTGATAATATAAGAATGTTCTTATTAAGGAAGTCTTTTCTTAAACTTTAAATAGATCAACAATTATAAAACACAATAATACTTTAGTTATATCAAATAATTAAACAATGTAGCTTGCCTCATGTAAGGTATATTAGTAGTGCCAATACTTTTTTTTTTATATAATTAGTTTTTATGCTCAATCTCTAAGACCAGTTAGAATTTTTAGTGATCAAAATATTAGACGACAACTTTTATTTTTCTTTTCTACTAATAAAAAACAAGAATTACTTGTCTTTTTTTTCTCTTCTCAATTCATAAAGATAATCACTACAACGCCGCATCGCTTGCAACATTACCTTCTTAAGATAAGTATTAGTTGGAAGATATAATGAAAGCAACTAACTAATTCATTTATCACAAAGAAAATTCTAATTAATTAATTAAATAGATCTTATCCCTTCATTTATCTTATACATATAAGGAGTAAATTGAGGGTCGTCCAATCCCAATTTGTCTACCACCCACTTGGGTTTTTTTTTTGTCTGTTTTAATGATACTTTTTACCTTCGAGGGAACTAACTCGAATTTAATGTCATTTGATTTGGACTGTGCTGTCACAGCTTAGAGGAGGAAGGGGGTGCAACTTTCACCTTCGAGGGAACTAGTAAAAAATGTTCTCTAGAAGTTGTTCTCAAAGTTCACAATCCTCAGTTTTACTGGAAGGTACGTTCTGCTTGTGGGTCTCCTTCTCGCTCAGCTAAGATTAAAAGCAACAATGTTGTTGCAATGCACGAAATTCTCAACATTTCATTACAATCATTAGAAAACGTTGTCAGGTAACGACGCGGGCTGACATAGGCCTTGCAGATGCTTATATTGATGGAGATTTTTCTTTTGCTGACAAAGACCAATGTCTTCTAGATCTTTTCATGGTGAGATAGATCATGTTTTTGTAACATATAGTGCTTTTCATTTCGGTTTTAACATCATTAATGAGACCATTAAAATTTATATTTTAGGTTCTGATTGCGAACAGAGATGCAAACAAATCTATCTCCAAGGCGAATAAGAAAAGGTATGTGATTTTGCTTCTTTTTATTCCTTTGATCCTATTGGATCATCTAATATTCATCTGTGGTTAAGTATAGGGGTTGGTGGACACCATCGTTATTTACAGCAGGTATTGCTTCCGCAAAGTTTTTCCTTCAGCATGTTCTGAGGCAAAATACTCTTACACAAGCTCGCAGGAACATCTCTCGTCATTATGACCTGGTATGGGATCATAACTTGTTAATTCTTTTGTTTAATAACGTCCACGCTGTAGGGAAAATAGATTGTGTGGAAATTGTGTGGAAATGCATGTACTAGCTAGTGCCATGTTCAGAATTCTGATGTTAGTGAAGGATCTTTCAGTTAGGCTTACATCTCTTCCTTTCATTTCGTTCTTCTAGAGTAACGAAGTTTTTTCTCTGTTCCTGGGAGAAACAATGGCATACTCGTCTGCAATATTTAAGGTCAGAAACCCAACCTTCCAATGTTTTTATTTTATTTTATTTGATGCAAAACAGGAATCTCATCCACTATGTGCCAAGGCTTTAACTTTTGATTATTTTATTTGCATGCGATGTTACATTATAGACTGAAGATGAAGACTTGAATACAGCTCAGTTGAGGAAAATCTCTGTTCTGATTGAAAAAGTGAGTGTAATATACAATCTCTTAACTGTTTCACCAGATTTTTAACAAATTTTAATTGATATACATACTATCATGTATTTTTTTAACCAATATAGGCAAGAATCGATAAGAAGCATGAAATTCTTGACATTGGTTGTGGCTGGGGAACTTTTGCTATTGAAGTTGTCAAACAAACAGGATGCAAATACACGGGTCTCACTCTATCTGTGGAGCAACTGAAATATGCAGAAATGAAAGTCAAGGAAGCTGGTCTGCAGGTATCTATGGGATGATAATTGATACATATAGCATCTACTTCTGTCTGAATTGTTGTTCAGACTGATTTTCTTAAGAAAAATATCTTCATTTTGAAGCTTATAACCTATTCTTTTACCAGGATCATATCAGACTTCTCCTCTGTGATTATCGTGAATTGCCTAAAGGCTATAAATACGATAGAATCGTATCTTGGTAAGATGCGTCTTCGCTAAATATATACCTATCATATCCCACCCAGACAGATGTCGTAAATTTTGATCTATTTTCCTAGTGAAATGATAGAGCATGTGGGTCATGAATACATGGAGGATTTTTTTAGTAGCTGCGAATCAGCATTGGCAGAAGATGGGCTTCTTGTTCTACAGGTATGACGAAAAAGGGAAGGAACCTCTCATTGTCTGAGTTGCAGTGCTGAGAGAAATGTGTTTGATTACTACATTTTCAACATTTAGCCTAGATAACTCCTTATCATCTTTACCATTCTACTTATTGCTAACCAGTAAAAATGGTTTGTTTTTCCTCAGTTCATATCAATAGCAGACGAGCGTTATGATGAGTACAGGCGAAGTTCTGATTTTATCAAGGAATATATTTTTCCCGGTGGATGTTTGCCTTCATTAAGTAGGATAACATCAGCCATGGGTGTTGCATCAAGACTCTGGTATGAGTTGTTTGTTTTGTTACACAGTACTTTAAAGCTTTGTTCTTACTTTTAGTTTGTCTGAATATTCTGTAATATACTAACACAAGTTTTGTTTGTGCAGCGTGGAGCATGTGGAAAATATAGGAAGTCATTACTATCATACGTTAAGAAGGTGGAGGAAAAATTTCTTGGAAAACAAGAGGTAGATATAATCATTTGATTTTTCTGTTCTCTGCAGAGTATGATGCCAGTAATAAACTTTTGTCATTCTTTTTCTTAGCAAAATTCTTGCCATGGGATTCGATGAAAAGTTCATCAGGACATGGGAGTATTACTTTGACTACTGCGCTGCTGGTTTCAAATCGTATACCCTTGGGGATTACCAGGTAAGTGCAGAATTGCATTCATCCCTTTCCGTCGAAAAGCTCATGAATAGCTTTCGGAGATGTAGGGACTATTTTGTATACAACATTAGAATCAATATTATATATAAAATTTAAAGATGCTCTACTCCCATATTAATGTTTTAACTTGTATGAAACTGCAGGTTGTATTTTCACGTCCTGGCAATGTTGTGGCATTAGGCAATCCATACAAAGGTTTTCCATCGGCATATCAACACCTTCTGTAGAAGAGAGACCGTTCTATGATATAAGCCGCCTCGAACTGTAGCTACTTACTTATTTCTTTAATTTCCAAGTTTGTTGTGTTGCAATAAAACTTTCTTGATTAGCTACAATGAATTGGCCGTTAGACAAAGAAATTGAGAACGTGAAAATGGTTTGGAAAATTAATTTTTTAAGACAGACATGTCATGATGTTCAAATTCAGACATCTCATTCAACCCAGGATGTGCAAATTTAGACATCCCTGTAACCGTATGGTGCGCTCTTGTACACCTATAATGTTCAAAAATCTCCATAAATTTGTTGTGCAAGAATCTTATTCGTTTTGATAAAGCAATCTGGTTATGTCTTGAGACTATCATCTATAAATTTTATATAGCAGTTTTGGATGTTTTGTTAGTGATTTCAGATAATCCTTCTAATTTTACAGCACTTGTAGAACAGTGCTTCTGGAACTGAAGCTGAACACATCGATTGGAAGATTAGACGAGCTTTAAGGTTTAGATCCAGGTATTGGCCCCAGTGATGGGGATGAGGCTACAATAGTTCTTTTAGAAAGTAATTGAGAGACAAGCTAGAGAGCGTCCTCCATCAAATGACAGCCTGATTGTGAAGGTTTTTGTTTTTGGCTGCAGGATTTTTTGGTTTTCTTACAAGTAGCAGTTGGCGTAGCATCAGGGATTTTTTAGCTTCTAATTACTTGGTCATCCAAGCCGCCTTCCCGTTGTTAATCGTGTCTGCTGTGTTGTAGCAAGAATAAAAAGATAAGGATCAACATTTTATGTTCTTACCTGATCCTAAAGATAGGCTAGATTTTTGGCTTCAGTCAATCACTGATGATAAATATATATGAGTTTGATAAGTTATTAAATTTACAATCTCTAGGCCTAGCCAAGTACCGAGCCTAAACATATAAGGTTTAATGAGCTACTAGACCCACTATATATAAGTTTAGTCGAGCATTGAACCTATATATAAATGAATTTGACAAGTTGCTAGACTCACTATATTTGAATCCATGCTCGTTTTAACTCTAAAGAATCTTAGGCTATATGATTAAGCTATAAGTTAAAAATATTTTTTTTTTGATAAGTTAGTGATATTTTATCTTAATAAATCAGAGATGTTTTACTTATATTTTAACCTATTTTCTTTAAAAAGTGATAAGCTCTTTGAGCTATAAAAGAGATCACGATATCTTTTAAAGTCAATTTTTTTTTTCTCTCCTTCTTATTGCATATGTATTTTTGAAATTCTTTTCTAAAAGATGATTGCATTTTTTCTGAAATGACACTTATTTAAATATAAAAAAATCCTTATATTTATAAAAGATGACTTTTAAAGGATATCAAGTATTATTCATTGACTACATTAACTAAAAAAAATAATTCAGATGATTGGAACTAGAAGATCAACCTATTATCTAAGATTTCAGCTTAACTCTCAAGTTCATCGGGTAAATTCGAACCTCTTCAAAAACTTTCGTTCTTTTCAAGCTCAGCCACTGTGTATTGGAAAGAAGAAAACAAATTTGAGAGCAAAAGACTGAAATAAATAAGGCTTCCAAAGACATGGAATGCTTTCTTTTACATCTACAGACTACAGCAATGGTCAGGAAGAAAATGATGAATAAATATCCCTATGATACTTGGGTACACGTCAAGTCAGATGTTTTGCTGCATAGCCTAAAGGGTGGTGAGGCCTCATCAGAGCATGTAATTGCATGTATTTTGACTTCGAATAGTCTTTACCTCTCGCAGTAAATATATTTATTCTAGTCAAGTAGAGTTAAGTGATTTTGCTTCTTTTTATTCCTACGATCCTATCGGATCATCTAATATTCACCTGTATTTGAATATAAAAAAATTACTAGTAGCATTCTAAAAAAAACCCTTTATTTTGCTCTTCATTAAAATAAAAATCCAAAATAGTAGTTTTAAATATTTCGGCATTGTCATAAAAAAATCAAAAATACTTTGCATGAATATTTAACTTAATAACAAGTTTATTAATTATATCAGGATTTGGTCTAAATTAAAAGGCCCATTGAACTAACATACTCAAATTAATTTATAAAATAATAAAAACATCAAATGTATGTTACTTATGTTTAAGACAAATGGACTCAGTCAATACCCTCAACATTAAGAAAATAAAAACATAAATCCTAAATTTTCAAAAAAAAATAATTTTTTTTTATCTAAATAATCTTTTCAATTTGTATTAACGACACCAAAGTTAAAAATACCCACTTGGATTAATATCCACCCATTCTTGAATTGAAAAAATCATCCTCATATTCACTAATGATTGAATATTTGTATTTTACAATGCAAAAACTGAAAATACTTTTGATATTCATTAACATTAACATTAGAGTTAAGTATATTAATATTATAATTAGAATTAATTTTGAAATCCAATATTTATTGACATCAAAACTAAAAAAATCATACATTCTCTTCATATAATACTTATCAAAATCAAAATTAAAAATATTTTTAATTAAATATTTATTAATATTAGAATAAAAAATATTATAGTTCAATCATCAATAGCATAATACAATAGACCATTTGTAATAATATAATTTTTTTTAAATAAAATATTTTAAAAGTGATAATATTTTTTTTAGGGTAATCAATTCTATATTATAAAATATTTATCGATTAATTAGGATTCATAATAACATAATACTAGATGATAATTAAGTTGATAATAACTAATAACTAGATGATAAATCTTTAATCTAGACATTTCTCTTCAAAAATATAAAATGCTAAATATCTTTTTTGTTTTTTCAAAGCTCATCGCAAATTCGGGTACAGGCTCCTGCAATAAATTTTATTGTAAATGACTGGAATCTGTGAGAATCTTGCTTTTGACTTGGGAAAAAGATTCCCTTGCGGGAAAGATTCAGAATGCAACTTTGATTCTATTTTCAAATAAAGAATTTTATTTTGATTTTATGGGGTGATCCAGTATTTCATTAATTTATTCCCCGCGCTATTATTATTGGGGATGGAGTCAGAATCTTTTGGAATTAATTTTTTTAATCTAGACTAATGAAAACCTTTTAATGTTAATATTAAAATCATTACAATGGTTAAAACTTAAAATTTTTCAAACCAACTCTTTATTTAATTTAAATTTTAATTTAAATTATATACAAATTATCCTAACATAATCTTGTTAACTAAATAAATTTTAAAAAATAAAATAAAAAATAAATCAAGTTAAAATTACAATTAATTTGTTAAATATACTACTTGAATTATATATTATAATAGGTCAGATTATTTTTTTATTTTATTATTTAATAAAAATATACAAATTAATTTACTATTAATCCAATACTAAAAAAATAAAATTAAATAAAAATATCATATTAATTAATAAAACAAAAAAAAAAGACAATAGATAAAAAAGGGCCACAAATACCAAAAGAGCCAGTACAACAAAACTCGGGCACATGGGCAGTAGATCCACAGTTCTTCCCATGCAAGAACAGGTACCCTTCTCCATGCCAATGGAATATCATCACCTACCTTTTGTCCTAAATAGCAAATATGACAGAACAACCATGAAATGTCATATTAATTAAAAGCGACACCATTTTTTCTATCAATAATACAATCTGTTCTCTATGAAAAAATTCCAAGGCCGAAGTATATAAACACCCTTAATCATTGGATAAGCAAGAACTAGCACGACCAAGCTGACAACCAGAAAGTAATTTATAGCAAAACAAGTCCCAATCAACGTTAGTGAAAGCACAGGCAAACCATTGGAAGTCAGGCGAGGCCATACGAGTTCTATGCCAGCCATGTCATTCCTAACCTTCACTTTATTTTTTTCTTCATGTATTTTTCATTTTTTACGTACACATATTTTGATTTAATGATGTAGTCACGTTCACAAAAGCAAAAGGTTTTTGAATAGTTAGATGGGACTGCCACAACCATACGTATTATATAAATAACCTAACATATGATGGTTTTATAAACTAGTGAAATATAAATAAATAGGCAGATCTTATGACCTAACAAGTTGATTTGTAGATCATATAAAGCTCGAGGTTTAGTTCTTTTGCAGTCTTGAAGCATCAATGGCCGCTGCAAATTGTTCCTCTGGAGAAAGTTGTGCTGCTTTGATCCGTGGAAAACAAATGTCACCTTCTCGGTTCGTGATAAAGATTTATCTTGGTTCCTAATAAAGATAAGTTGCCATAAAATGTAATTAAAGCCATCAATGGCATTCCAAGATCTATGAGCATTTTCTATTGATAATGTTTCTGGTGCTCTAAACAATTGGAACGCAATCTAGTCCAGCGCATAACTACCCATTTACGAAGTGATGAACCCGAGTGCTTATAGCTCCACTGCTATCAGTTAATAACTCTCAATTCAATCTCAGTAAGCCTACTTGTCATATCAAATCAAGCAAATCAAGTTCTAGAATTCGCCTCTAGCATCTTATTCCCAGTCAAAAACAGACCAAAAGGTGCGCACTAGTGAAGATAACATAAACAAATACATATCTGAGATCAAACCAACACAGATATTATATGCGCAGTAGATTAAACACTATGATAGAGAGCTGAAAAGTTCCAGAACAGCTAGAAGATAAATTGTAAGCACGCCGAATTAAGAGCTACACTCAATAAGCGAATATTAAATAAGATGGGCATCTAGTCTGCCTTGGGCTACTTATTATAGACTAGCAAAATAGATAGTGCAAACTACTGGGATTAAAGCAATCCAACCATTCCCAAAGTGCATCATCCGATTTGAGCCACTCCCCTGGTGCTGGGAGCAAGAAATCTTCAGAGAACCTCATGAAAACAGCTGGACACGCCCACAAACAAAGATGTAGACCTAGTAGGCAACCAAGGTGTTCACAAATCACTGTTGTTGGGCTTTTCGAGCCTGAGAACTACCATAACCACCGCCATATCCAACCTGTCCACCATGAGGACCATTTGCTTGAGGAGCCCCATAATTTCCAGAAGCTTGTGATTGCTCAGATCTCCACGCTGCATTTCCATACCCAGAATTTCCATTTGCATCACCATATCCACTCCCCATGTAGCCGCCACCACTCCCCTGCAGCTCTGCTCCACCAGGACCACCAACGTTACTGTTTGGGGTGCCCCCAGAACGTCCTAGTTCTGCTCCACCAGGACCGCCAACGTTACTCTTTGGAGTGCCCCCACGTCCTGCAACAGCACCATACCCAGCTGGATTCCCCCCACGTCTTGCAACAGCACCATACCCAGCTGGATTCCCATATGATCCATCATTTCCACCGTAACTACCGTACCCATAACCTCGATTCCCATACCCAGCGGCTTCACCAGGAGATTGACCAGCAAGTACTGAACCAGGGCCACCACTGCCAGCCCCAGCAATTTGAGCTCCCCAGGAATCAGCATTCCCATAACCCATAGCACCATAGCCAGATGAACCTTGACTGTTCATCAAGAGGGTCCCCTTGCCTTAAACCTTAACTGAATTCTCTATTAGGAGAGCTGTTGATCAATATGGTCATTTTAGAAGTGGATAAGCATTCAAAAATCAATTTTTTTTTTCAAAAAGAACCAATTCCTATAAAATCCATAGTAATATCAATATGATCTCATAAAATCAAGTTGAAAGCTTTCTGAAAATTCACCTTTAATAAAAAATTATACCCCCTAACTACAAATATAATTCAGAATAATTGAAATGCTAGACCTATTAGTTAGCCAACCTTTTATTTATATATATATAGAGAGAGAGCAATATACAATAGTAAAGGTTATAACACAAGAGTATTACTATAATATTTTCTATATATTATACCTATAATATTTTTTATGTAGATACATTTTATAATATGGTCCTTCAAGTTGAGGGTGGATAATCGACCTGAAACTTGAATCGAAAAGCAGTAAATAGAGTAGTAGAAAATGAATTAGTAAGAACATCAACAAGTTGATCATGAGAGGAGATAAAACCATTCTAAATCTCTTTCTTCGTAACTCGGTTTTGTATAAAATGATAGTCAACCTCAATGTGTTTAGTACAATCATGAAAGGTAGGATTTGTAGATTAATAAATAGCGCCGAGATTATCATATCAAATAGTAGGAGTAAAAGCAGAATGAATCTGCAAATCTCTTAATAGATATTGAAGCCAAATAACCTCAGCAGTGTCATCTGCCAAGGTTTTATACTCAGCTTTAGTGGAGGAGTGAACAACTGTTGTGCGTTGCTTGTTTGATTTTCATGAAATTAGCATCTAACCAATGAAGACAAGATAACCACCCGTAGACTTGTGATCATCAGTACTATTTGCCCAATCTGCATTTGTAAAACTAAGTAGATCAAATAAGGAACTATAAGTGATATGTAGGCCATAGGTGGTCGTACCCCATAATAATATAGAATGTGTTTAGTGACACCCCAATAATAATCTGTAGGAGCATATATAAACTGATAGACTCTATTGGCTACAAAACAGATATTTAGTCTCGTAAAAATGAGATATTAAAGAGCACCCATAATCTGATGAAACTGTGTAGGATTAGAAAATAAGGAATATGGTATTATGGTGACTTTGAAAGGACAGATAGATGTATCAACAGGTTTGTAAGAAGTCATACCAGTTCGAGTAAGGGTGTCAAGGATATACTTATGTTGTCGTAACATAGTTCGAGTAAGAGTGTCAAGGATATACTTATGTTGTCGTAACATCAAACTTATAGCAGTGAATTGAACCTCAATGCCTAAAAAATAGTAAATAACGCCTATGTCACGAAGCTTGAACTCTGAACTGAGTAAACTGTATTAAGCGGTGAAGCACAATAACGTTGCTATTCGTAATTAGAATGTCATCAATATAAACCAAAAGATAAAATATATCAGCACCAACATATAAGATAAATAAAGAAGTGTTAACCTTGGAAGCATGAAAACCAATAAAAAGTAGAAAGTAAATCAGATGAGTGTACCATGGGGCCTGTTTTAAACCATATAGCGATTTATGCAACCGGTATACAAGGGAAGAGCAGAATCAATAAAACCTGGTGGTTGTTTCATGTAGATCTCTTCAGCAAGAATACCATTAAGGAAAACATTATAAATATCAAGTTGATGGATCTAACGATCGATGGCTTAATAATAGGACTGAAAGTTTTAGAATAATCAATGCCTTCTTGGTGAGTAAAGCCTCTAGCAACCAAATATGCCTTATATTGCTCAATATTGACATCCACATTACATTTTATTTTATACACTTATCAATTACCAACAACATTTATCGAAGGATGAAAGGGAACTAAGGACTAGGTGTTATTGAAGCGTAGGGCCTGGATTTCATCACGTATATCACTATGCCACACCTCATACTTGTTAGAATCAGAGAAGGCAATGGACTTAGAGGTAGAGAGGACATTACCTGAGAGATAGGTGCAGTAGAAAAGGTTGTAGATGCTGTGAGAAATGTAGTTTTTGGTAGCCATGGATGAAGAACCATCGGATGCTGACGGGCAGCAGATCAAGGGGGAGAAGAATTTGAATTGGAAGTTGTTGAAGCGGATAAGAGGAAAGATCAACAAAGAGTTGCAGATCTGTAGAGGGATCTGCCAAAGAACCAGAGTTCGCAACAACAGATGAAGGAGAGCCTGTTGTAGAATCTGTGTTGGCTATAGTAACAAACCTAGAAATATGCAACTTTGAAGAAGGAGAATATATGCCTGCATAATGATCATCAGAAAAACATGCAGATGGTGACATAACGGTAAGGCTATGGGACCGTGGTATGGTGGCAGATAAGGGTGGGAAATGTGGTAGCTGTGTTTATGGGGCAAGAAGTGCAGCAAAGCCTTTAAAAGAGGTGATTGACGACTCTGCTGGGTGAAAAATATGAGAGGTAATTAAGGCTGACAAGTGTGTAGGCTAGGTAGAGGTGGATGTGGGCGGACTATCTGTTCAAAATTAGCAAATGGAAACATATTTTCATGAAAACAAACATGATGGAAGACGTATATACATTGAGACGCTAAATCAAGACAACGATAACCAAGATGAGAGGAACTATACTCTAAGAACACACATGGAGATGAACGAAAATCCAACTTATGAGCATGGTATGGACGCAAAAAAATAAAATAAAAATAAAGACATCTAAAAGTATGTAAAAAATAATAATTAGGAGTACAATTAAATAAATATTAAAAAGGAGATTGATTTTGGAGGACAAGAGTGGACATGCGATTAATGAGATATACTAATGATTCAAATATATAATTCCAAAATCATAACGGGGCACTGCATTGTCCTAGGAGGGTATGACTTGTTTCAACAATATGATCATGGTGATGCTTAATGCTGGTATTTTGCTCATGTGTATGAGGACAAATTAACCTATGATGAATACCAATAGTTTGAAAGAAATTGTTTAACTTGTGATGTTCATCACCCTAATTAGTTTGAACGAATTTAATTTTGTGGGAAAACTAATGCTCAATAAGTTGTTGGAAACATTGAAATATAGAAAACACATCTGATTTGGCAACAAGAGGATAATACCAAGTATATTTTGTATCTATATCAATAAAAATAACAAAGTAACAAAAATCATCAGAGAAAAACATAGTAGCAGGACCCCAAACATCACTGAATATTAAATTAAGTGGAGTAGAAGGTTTGTGACCTATAGGTCACAAAGATAAATGCAAAGACTTACCAAGCGGACAAACTTGACATTAAACAAGAGAGCACATAAAAGTACAAATTATTTTATTTTTGGAACTAACACATTGAAAATATAGGAAGTACGATGACCCAATTGGCGATGCCACATATCAACAATGACAGAGACACAAGGAGACCAATAAGCTTGAGGAATGGTGGTGGCAGAAGACTTAGAAAGGACATAAAAACCATCAGTGCTCTGACCAGAAAGGAGCACTGCTTTAGTGGTGAGATCCTTTACATAAAACATAGAGGCATGAAATTCAAAGTAAATATTATTATTATGTTAAAATTTCTAAACAGATAGCAATGGTTTGGTAATATGAGGAACATAAAGAACATTAGATAATGCCAATATTTGTTTAGGGGAACGTAACATGGTATGTCCAATATAGGATATGGATAGACCCTTACCGTCACCAACATGTAAAAAATCATTACAAAGTTAGGGTCTGAATCGATTAGAATCATAAGATCAGGCATAATGTGGTGGTTCGCACCGCTGACCAGGAACTAAATAGGGGTGGAAACTGGACCAACAACAAAGATGAGCATAGGGTTAGTGACCACTGCTATGAAAGTGAGCACATTATGAGGTTGTGTGGCCGAAGGAGAAGCATAGCTGACACTTAACATTTTGCTCAAAGGATCATTGAGGAGACCATTTCCCACCAGCAGGCCGTCTAGGCTGTTGCTAATGACCCTGCTTCTAGTATACGGGACAAAAGGAATGAGAACCATGAAAATCAGACCTATCATGGTTGTTGTACCTGTTGTTGTTGGAATGCTAGTTGTCATAGGAACGACTTCTATGACGGCCAAAACTGGCATTGTGCTGCTGTTGGGCAAGATGAGCAGAGGGCAACAGAGATGGATTTACAGCCAAGGATGGAAGAGAAGTCTTATACAGAAACTCATGAGTAAGAAAATGGCTGTGAAGGCCCGCGTATGACAGCGGTTCTGCCTTGGTCACAAGACTAGTTACCAAGTCTTTAAACTCACCATAAAGACCATGAAATAAATAGAGGTTGAAGTCTTCAAGAGAGAGGGGTTGACTAATAGTATCCAATTCATCAAATAATAACTTGGTGTGCTGATGTATGCAGTAACCGAAGCATCTCTTTGCCGAAGATCTTGAAAAGACCGATGAAGTTGCATAGTGCGAGAATTCAATGGAGAAGCGAATGTTTTCTTAAGAGTGTGCCAAACACAAGAAGAAGTTTGATGATTTACCACAAGATGCAGGACGTCCTTGGAGAGAAGGGAGAGTAACGCGCTTAAAATAAACTGATCATGTGCTTCTAATGAAAAGAAAGGTTGATTGTCGAATAAAAGCCATTAGAATAGTTAGAAACATGAGAGGGAGGACATGGCACTAGGCCATTGACATAGTAGGAAACACCTTGACCAAGAAGATATAACTTCATTTGCATTCACCAATAGAGATGGTGGTCGTAAACCTCAATGAGACCACTTGATGAGTGTTGGACAACACAACGATAGAAGGAGTTGTTGTCCTCATGATATAAGGACGTATGATAGAAACATGGGAGAAGGAACAATGGTTTTGCTTTACAGGTTGGGGTCGTTGTTGGTGGGAGAAAGAACCAGTAGCAACAACTTCTGAAGGGCTTGCTAGCTGGGCTGCACCGCCGATTTGGTGGGGAGAGAAGACGGTAGTGACAATAGAGTCCATTTAGAAGAGGAAGAGAAGAGGCCAACTGTAGGGGGAAAGGATAGAAG